AAAGTCATCCACCTGAGTTATTGTTGGAGCACCACGAAGTAATCTTCTGGGAAAGTTCACTTACTCTCAGGTGTATAGAATATTTCACTGCTGGCTGAGAGATGGCAGCACTAGAACCAAGAGGCAGAAGACAGAGTGGCAGGCTTCCCTGTCCACAGAGGCAGAGGCCAGGCTGAGAGGCGTGTCTAAGGCACAGCAGAGGGGAGACTGTCCTGATTGAAGAACTGTATCCTGAGCACATTCCTGAACTTGAATTGTAGCCTGTTGCTTCCCTAATAAAACCCATAGTCTGTGAGTTCTGTGTGGCCACTGCAGTGAATTATTCAACCCAGCAAAGAGGTGGTAGGTGCCATGGGACAGAAGGCTGGTGTCAAGACTGGTAAGAGAGCTGGAGGGTGGCAGCATATTTGCCTCATAGGAGCAGGCCTTGGGCTGCTGATGGTGATTCTGTCTTCCTCTTGTGAGGTTAGAGGAGGTCAGAAGATGCTGCCTCCCTGCCCCTTTAGCATTCATCTTTAACATGGACCTTAGACACAATGGTCTCTATATATAATTTCTTCTCTTAGACACAATGGTCTCTCTATATAATTCCTTCTCTATTCAGTCCAGGTTAGGAGCTCTGGTGGTGTAGTGCCTAAGGCATCTGACTGCTAACCAGAAGGCTGGTGGTTCAAACCCACCAGCCACTCCTCGGAAAGAAGGTTTGGCAATATACTTCTGTAGTGATACCGCCTTGGAAATCCAAGGAGGGGTCGCTATGAGTTGGGTCTGACTCAACGGCACATAACAACAACAACAACAACATCCAGTATAGGAGCAAGGAGGAGAGAAGTGCTCAGGGGTTAACTAAGCACCTTCAAGAAAGCCATAAGAAAGACAGGCTATGATTTATTATGCATCTCTATTCCCTTCTAAATGGATGTCCTCTGAATTACATTATAGTATATCCATTTAATAGAATTTAATAGAATATTATGCAGCTATAAAAAAGAATCAGTAAGCTCTTTATGTAGTGATATGGACAATCTCAAAGATATATTGCTAACAATGTGTTTCATATGTTGAGTTTTTTTGTTCTTTTAATAAGGAAGAAAAGAATTAATACACATATTTAGCCAATGTCATGATTCTCACTCAGTATTAAGTAATTATCCTTCATTTCATGATCTAATGTAATTTATCCTATGTGTTGTAAATCCTAACCTCTCTGATATTAATGAGGCAGGATTCGTAGTAGTTATGTTAATGAGGGAAGGTATAATCTACAGGATTGAGATAGAAAAGAGATTAAACAAGTGAGCAGAGATCAGAAGGCCCTACCACCACCAAGAAAGAAGAGCCAGGAACAGAGCATGCCCTTTGGACCTAGGGTCCCTGAAATGCGAACCTCCAACACCCTGGGGAAGACTGATGCCAAGACACATGTAGAGCTGCAAGGAACACCGGGCCCCCAGATGCTAAAGGGATACAAAGACTTTCCTTCAAAACTGTGACCAGAGAAGACAAGAGAAAGGCTTCCCCTAGAGCTGGGACCCTGAATTCAGACGTCCAGCCTCTTAAACTGTGAGAAAGTCAATCTGTTTGTTAAAGCCACCCACTTGTGGTATTTGTGTATAACAGCACTAGATAACTAAGACAGCCAGCCTATGTATAAACATCTCTGGAAAGATATATATGTTCAAAAACAAAAAAAAAAACTGGTAACACTGGTTGCCTCTTTAAAAGAGGTGCAAAGGAGTTGGCCACAAAAGGTATTCTTCTGGCACTTTACAATATACTGCCTTATTCAAAAATAAGTAAGACCTTAAAATTATTACAAATGAATTTGTGAAAAGATTTTCTAGGTTTTCATGAAAAGGGTCAGCATCCTCATAAGGACTGCATAACTATACAGACCTTACAATTTAGAGCAGAATTGGTCAAAAGATGCATTCTAGGTATTTATTTTGTATGCTGAGAAGTCATTAAAATTACACTTTAAAATTTTGAGGACTGCATCTCTACTGTGTACCTTTGCCCTTACTAGCCTTGGTGCTTTCATTTTTCTTAACATTCCAAAGAAGAAAGGAGTAAAGAGAGAATGCCCTTCATCTGAATCATGATTGAAACCAATCCAGAAGAATGGGAGAACAAGAACGGTGCTAAAGGGTATGAGTGAACAAGGTAAATTCTGAAAACCAAACAAACTATATGAGAGTAAAGGCAGGCTGCCAGTCTGGTCAGTGTCCAAATTCCACTGCAGTGTAATAATAAAGCCTATTGTCTTCAGTTATTCCATAATTGACTCAGCTGCTGGTGTCATCTTACTGGGATTCTAGGCCTGAAGTACTATGCACTCAAGTAGTGGGGGTGGGAAGATAGAAGGTAAAACTTTCTAAATAAAAAGTTTTCCAATGGATACACCTTAAACTCAAACGATCAAACTATCTAAAGGGAAGATTGTTTTGGCCTCCAAAGGAATTTAGAGTTCTAGAATCATATACAGTTGTTGGTCTAATCAGTACTAATTCATAGCCACCTTACAGGATAGAACAGAACTGCCCATTAGGGATTTCAAGGCTGTAATCCTCGACGGCACATAACAACAACAACAACAACAATCTTTTCAGAGGCAGATTACCACATCTTTCTTCCAAGGAGCAAGCAGCTGGTGGGCTCAAACCACCAATCTTTCAGTTAGCAGCCAAGTGCTTAACCACTGTGCAACCAGGCCTCCTTAGAATTACATATAGTAACACCAATTTGTCATGTTTAAGCATAAGTTATATCAGAGTCCTTAACAGTATCTCCAGGAGTCAGGAGGGGAAGAGATGGTAAGTTACTAATCAGAGGGTAGATACATAACTTGGGTGAAACAAAAAAAAAACAAACTCACTGCTGCCATCGAGTTGGTTCTAACTCATCGTGACCCCCACCAGGTTTCCAAGGCTGTAAATCTTTATGCCTCATCTTTCTCAGACAGAGCAACCAGTGGGTTTGAACCACCAAGCTTTAGGTTACATATGTTTTTAAATGTGCTGCAAATACATCCATGAATATAGCAGAACGTGCAGGGGACAAATTAGGAAAACTTCTTAGCCATAACCAAATCCCTCGAGGGAATGAGTCACTGGGCCTAGGGACTCAGGACCAGCGGAGAGATAGATAGATTAGAGAGAGAGAGAGATAGATTAGAGAGAGAGAGAGAGATAGATTAGAGAGAGAGAGAGAGAGAGAGAGAGATGAGAGAGAGATGAGAGAGAGAGAGAGAGAGAGATGAGAGAGAGAGAGATGAGAGAAAGAGAGAGAGAGAGAAAGAGAAAGAGAGAAAGAGGGAGAAAGAGAGAGAGAGAGAAAGAGAGATAGATGAGAGAAAGAGAGAGAGAGAGAAAGAGAGAAAGAGTGAGAAAGAGAGAAGAGAAAGAGAGAGAAAGAGAGAGAGAGAGAGAGACAGACAGACAGATAGACAGACAGAAAGAAAGAAGCAAGCAAACAATTAGCCCAAAGCACTAACCACTGCCATTGAGTCCAACTCATAGTGACCCTTTAGGACAGAGCAGAACTGCCCCCATAGGGCTTCCAAGGCTGTAATTTTTATGGAAGCAGACTGCCTTATCTTTCTCCTGCAGAGCAGCTGGTGGGTTCAAACGACCAACCTTTTGGTTAGTAGCCCAAATGCCTTAACTACAGCACCACCAGCATTCCTCCGAAGAACTAAAGAAGTACACAATCCTCAGCCTCCAAGACCCTAAAATCAGAACTAGATGGTGCACAGCTACCACTGCTGCTGCTCTGAAAGGGCTCACAATAGGAGGTCCTACACAGGTGGGAGAAAACTGTGGAACAAAACTCAAAATCACAAAAAGACCAGGATCACTGGTCTGACAGAAATTGATAGAACCTCCAAGACTATGGTCCTCAGACAGCCTTTAAGCCTGGAAATGAACTCACTTCTGTGCCTCAGCTTTCAGCCAAATGATAGGTCTATAAGGTGAACAATAACACTAAGGAGATAAGCGCACCTTAGACAACAATCAACCATGAGGTGGAAAGGACAGCATTTGCCCAGGGATAAAGCTCAAAAGGCAGGAAGGAAAAGGAAGGGAGGGAGGGAGGGAGGGAGGGACGGAGAGAAAGGGAGGAAGGGAGGGAGGAAGGGAGGGAGGGAGAGAGAAGAAGGAGTGAAGGGGAAGGAAAGGAAGGGAAGGGAAGGAGGAAGGAAATGGTAAACACAGAAGTAAGAAGAGTAGTGTTACATGTGGGAATTGCAATCACTGTCACAAAATGTGTATGGATTATTTAATGAAAAACCAATTTGCTCTGTAAAGTTTCAACCAAATCTCTCTCACACACAAAATATCTCCAACATCCTTCTCTCTCTCTCAGTCATTAGGCTGAATTAGAATTGGGCTTTATAGTAAACTGAAACCACAATGGCATACCATTTCAATAACCATAATTACACTTACCATAGGCCAGATACTCACTGGGAAGTAATTTACATTACATATAAAACAAACTACGTATACAACAAAATATAGGCGTATCGGTTGCATATTTCTCAACAATATGGAAGATATAGTACAGCAGCCTGGCAAATGAGACCCCAGAATTCCTGACTTCAAAATGAAGTCTTTTAGTTTAAAAGAAATGTAGTTTTATCAATGAGTAATCTTCCCCTTCTACTAAGGAGATCTAGAACCACACTTGGCTCTGCTATCTATCAGTCACTTTCTTTCACCCTCACCTAAACATCAAAACCAGAAATAGCAAAGTGTACAGAGAGCCAGAATCTTAGAGTGAAGAATCCAATGCCTTCTTTCTCTATTAAATCAACACATGGATTAAAGAATTTTCAGTTTAGACGGAAGAGAGTCCCACTAACTCAGAACCTCACCCATTCATCCTGGTCTTCCCAGTAGCTTTAGGCTTCTACCTACAATGCAAAGATCAGTATCCAGTTTCAAAACACAGAGTTGAATATTTTTAAAGCAGAATTAATGGCACAAGACACTACTTACGGTGTTGATTTGTAGGAAAGGTCTGGGTAGGACCGCCTGTCATTCATTTTACCATTGGAAGAGTATGCCATGGAACTGTCAACTCTCTCCACATAGTCAGATGGTGGTGGGGGCATGTCTTGCGTGCCGGCAGAAACATTTTTAACCTAAAGACAACAAGAGACATAGACACTATTTAGCCTATAATTTAAAAAGGAAAGAAATGAAAGAAAAAACATCTACATAAAATTATTATCTAATGTGTACTGGAATTATTAAATTCAAGCAATCTGCAATAATTGCCCTTTTATGTCAGTCAAATCATCATTTTCACAAACACATAAAAGGTGCTAATGCTAGTTTAATAAGTCCAGAATGTATTACAAAGAAGGAAAAATCTTGATTACCTGATTCTCATCCTCATGTGATTAATGCAGTAATTATCTACAGTAATTGCCCCTTCTCCATCCCAGACCTTAATGCCTAAGGCACTTGACTGCTAACCAGAAGGCTGACTGTTCAAACCCACCAGTCACTCCTCGGAAGGAAGATGGGACAATCTACTTCCGTAGTGATACTGGCTTGGAAACCCAAGGAGGGGTCACTATGAGTCGGGTCCGCCTCGACGGCACATAACAACAACAACAGTCTCATTTTATCTAAGGTTAGGCCCAGAGCCCTGGTCATGCAGTGATTACATGCTTGGCTGCTAACCAAAAGGTCATGGTTTGAACCCACCAGCTCTCCTTGGGAGAAAAATGTAGCAGTCTGCTTCTATTATAGGGTCACGAGTAAGAATCCACTCCAAGGCAATAGGTTGGTGTGTGTTTGCTTTTTGTCAGGGTCCAATAATTTGCATTTCTAACCAATTCCCAGATCATGCTGATTCTGGTGTGTAGGTTCCAAGGGGAAAGCCACTAATCTATAACAAAGGATGCTGGCTCTTCTTAATCCATGAATTCATTCATCTCTAAACATGAAACGCTGAAACCCCAGAAGAAATTAAGCAGCTTAAACTAACTTTTCCTATAGTTCTTTAATGAAAGCTGTTTATTCTCCTTAATACACATTCTCAATGGCTTTATTATTTATAGCCTACGTAGTATAGTCACATTATTGCCTTCCTGTCTATTTTACTTCTTACTCCATTCTGATCTAAGTGTGTCCTACAAGCACTAGAAATTATACCTTGTTAAACATGAAAAGCATAGCAACTAGATGCTCAACCTTTAGTCTGTTAGATTTTGTGTAGCAAAGTTGACATTTTAAATTTCACCTAAAGATCATAAAGTTATTACATATTACTTTGCAGCTGGTAAAAATTAGTAAAGTGTTAAGTCCAAATAAATCACGAGTTATTTTAACACAAAAGAACAGAAATAAGGCAGAAAATCAAAATAATTCCACAAATTATTTCTCTGAAATAGAGCAACCTTTCAATAGTGATGGTGGGACTGCTTTAGCTTGGTGATAAGAACAATGGCATTAAACACACACATGAAGAAACGTTCACAATCTTTATCCATCAGAGAGATGCAAATCAAAACAACGAGATACCATCTGGCCCAAGTACTAATAGCAAAGTTCAATAAGACAGATAATAACAAATGCTGCCTAGGATGTGGAGAGATTGGGACTCTCATACACTGTTGGTGGGACTGTCAAATGATACAACCATTGTGGAAAGCAGTATGGTGATTCCTTAAAAAGCTGGGATTAGAAATACCATTTAATCCAGCAATCCCATTACTAGGTATATACCCTAAAGAAGTGAGAGCCAGGACAACAACAAATATATGCACACTCATATTCATCGCAGCACTATTTATAATAGCAAAAAGATGGAAACAACCTACATGCCCATCAACAGAAGAATGGATAACCAAACTATGATACATACACACAATGGAATATTATCTAACACTAAAAAAATAATATAGACTCTACAACACACTGCATAACATGGTTGAACTTGGAGGACATTATACTGAGTGAAACAGGTCAATCACAGAAGGACAAATACGATATTATATATTAGTTCATTATTGTAAAAAGTCAAGGAAAGGTTTATATATGGATGGAAACTTTGTTGGTTACTGGGGGTGGGGGCACTGCTAGATAGGTAGAGACAAGTCTTGATTTGGGTGAAGGGAAGGGCAATGTACCAAATGTGAGTGATCAACATGGTGGCACTGAGGAAGAGGAAGACAAAGAGGTGCATGGGAGGTACAGACAACAAAGATGAACCTCTTTTGCATATACAGTACTGTGTTGTCAGTGATGGCAAGCATTGACTTAGAGGTGGATAGATGCATGGACAAGCTGAACAATCAGGTATGTCTAGTCAGAAGGGAGTGTGCCCATGACCATGTATAGGGTTGGCAGACGATGTTTCTACATGTGTATATGTATGTGTTGTAAGAATGTCCAGGTATATAGTAGAGCTGACAAGGGACAAGGCTATGGTGACTTCTTGGCCACAGCCAGCTACCCAGAGGGAGCAAGTAGTTGAACCTGTGGGCTCGGGACCATGGTTGCAGGGGACATGAAGCTCAACTGCATGACATGCTACACAAGAACACTGTTCTACATTCTACTTTGGTGAGTAGTGACTGGGGCCTTAAAAGCTTGCAGAAGTCATCTAGATGCAGCGATGGGTCTTCTCTCCTCGTCCAGAACAAAGAAGAATGAAGAAAGCCAGGGACACATGGAAACAAGTAGTCCAAGGGACTGGTGGACCATGCAATCCTCAGCCTGTATGACCATAGGCCCAGAGGGGCTAAATGGTGCCTGGGTACCACTGTCAACCACTCAGAGGGGGATCAGTGCAGTAGATCCTAGATAGAGTGGGAGAACAATGTGGAACAAAACTCAAAATCTTAAAAAAAAAAAAAAAAAAAGAGCAAGTTTGCTGATCTGACAGAGCCTGGTAAGACCCCTAAGACTTAGTCCCTAGCTACCCTTCAGGTCTGGAATTGAACTCACTCCTGTGACTTCCAGCCAAACAACAGACAGACATATGGGGTAAACGTTTACATCAAGTAGATACACTACTTGGAGAGATCAATCATGGGAGAACAGAAGGGCAGCATATGCACAGGGAGATGGCTTGTGGGGGCAGGAATGCATGGGAGGGAAGGACACAGGGAAGAGGTAATTGCAGGAAGGAAGTGGGAAGAGAGCTGTTACATTGTGGGGAATAGCAATCAATGTCATGAGACAAAATATGTATGAACTGCTATATGGAAAATGAATTTGCTCTGTTAACTTTCACCCTTTCCCCCCCAAAAAAAAACAATGGCATTACTGCCTAGGCTCACCCCAGATCTGACAACTACAAGTTTTATAAAGCCTTAGTCTTCTCATCTGCAAGAAATGGGAAATTTTTAAAAATTAAATAAGAAAAAAAATAGTTAAGCCATCTAATCCATAAAGTTGTTTTGATGATTAAATGAGGTAACAGGATATTCTATTTGGCACAGTGTTTTTAAGCATAGTAGAAACTCAGTAAATGCTGGATTCTGGAACAATACCGTTGGAGCTGGTCAAAGAATTTATAAGTACTTGAGGGTGACAAGCAGATTTTTCTACTATTATAAATCTTTACAGTTAGGTTCAGCATTAATACAGTGCATTTCCCTTGCAATACACACACTTTACACCACTAGGTTTTTCATTCTATGTAGCATCAAAATATAGCAGGCTCCTTTCCTATCACTGCAATATTAAATACCAAATATCACTCCTCAAAGTGCATAGAAGTATTCTTGATTGTTTATTATTCCCGTGAGTCAGAAAGGAATGGAGTAATTTTCCTCTGAAAGTGGAATTTGGCAGCAATTGGGAAACCAGTGGGTGGGTTGCCAGGGAGTATGCTTAGGAACCCCCCCCATCCCCAATACGGGGGCAGGGTGGGAATCATTCTTGGCTCCCACTGAATTCCTTTGTTGTTAGCTGCTGTAGAATTCAACTCATGGTGACCTGTGCACAACAGAACGGCTTAGCTTGGAAGCTCAGCTGAAACCTGTTCAGCATCAGAGTCCTTAAAATAAATAAATAAAAATTAAAAAACCCCAAACCCTTTTATGCGGAGTTAATTCCAACTCATAGTAACCCTATAGGATAGAGTAGAACTGCCCCTTAAGGTTTCTAAGGCTATAATCTTTACAAAGGCAGACTGCCACATCTTTCTCCTGCAGAGTGGTCACTGAGTTGAACCAATGACCTTCTGTTTAGCAGCCTAGCACTTAACCACTGCGCCACTAGGGCTTCTTAACAGATTCCTTAGTACACTTCAATTCACTAAGCTTCAAGGCAAATGCTTGGCCAAAGGCTTGTTCTTATTCTGGAAGTCTCATCAGAATTTAAAGACTCTTTAAAAAAAAAAAAAGACACTTCTCCAAGCTTTTCCGCACTCTAGTATTAGCAAAGTTTGTAAAGCTCATGGCTGTCCTACTGACTTTGGTAAGCCTGAAACCAAGAGTTTCAGAAATTAGGTAAAACTCATGCCTTTGTAGACGTATCACTAGCTGGAATGCCCTTTTCTTTACCACCTAATCCCTAATGAGCTTCAAGTCTTGGCTCAAGTGCTACCACCTTCTAGAGGCCTTCAACACAAGTCTCTCTGGGTGAGGCATCTGTCTTCCTATTTCCCCAAGCACCTGTGCATACAAATCTCTCATCAGAGCACTCACACATCATTTAACAGTTGCTTTGTTGTGGTTGTTAATTGCCAAGGAGTCGATTCTGACACATGGTGACCTCATGTGTGCAGAGAACTACTCCATAAGAGTTCAAGGCTGTGACCTAGAACAACAGCTTACTCACAGTACAATCACTTACTCATATATTTATTACTCCAGTGGACTGTTCTTAGAGCCACCACCTCTACCTGCTTATATGTCAAATATTGAACTGGTAAGTCATTTGGTAGACACAACCTTACAGGTAAATATTATTAATCTTTTCTCAGGTACCAGGAAGCTGTGGCTCCTGGAATTAGGTAACTTGCCCAAGGATGTAACACCTACAAAGTGATACTGTGGGATTTAAATACAAGACTAACCCTGAAGCATCTGCTACAATTCACTGCCTCTCACTGGACAGTCTTCTACTTCGCATCCGAGTCTCCAGAGTCTAACACAGTGCCTAGCACAAATTAGGAATA